TTCTTCTTCTTCTTCTTCTTCTTCTTCTTCCGATTCAAAGGGAACAATAAGCAGCCAACTTGACATGGCTTCATTGATCTCCACCTCCCATTTCCCCCTCTGTATTTATCACCTCACCATGAATTACTTGGCTCAGGTGGCTAATGACCGCTGAGGCAAGTACTGACACAGGAAAATCTACATACCAATGCAGAAGCGAGCGTTGAAAACAAAATAGATGGCAATCTGACACTAGACAATGCAGAAACCAGGATCCAAGGCAATGCAATGAAAACAGATATTCCAAGGCAAGGGGGAACAAGGTCGAGTGCTAATAAATAAAATGTGGAGTGAGTGCCAGATGCAGAATGGACCTTAGTTCCACTAGCTTCTGTTATCCTCCCGCCCCTCAGCTCACTGTTCCCAAAACTTATATTGTAATCTCCTCAGAGCACGGCCCTTTCTTTTTGCTTACAGCCCTGAAAAGCACTATCCGTGTCTGTGTGGGTATGATAAGTAAATAATAAAACAGATCGTTATTACAACAACATGTGTAGGTTCGTTGCTGCTTACATTTTTGGGGAGCGCCTACATGTGCCAAGCTACCAAGAGCAGGAGATTGGGCCCTCTTGGTACCTCGAGCTGCCTTTTCGGCCTTTATGATGGAATTGTCCTTGGCTGCTGTGAGAAGAAGTTCCTGTTTAGCAACCAGGTATCGAGTGGCTTCTCTTTTGTAAGGGACACAGAAATTTCATTCACGAGTCAGAAAGGGCCACTATGGCAGATTAGGAAACACCTGAAGAAAATGCCTCCCCAAAGAAATGATCCTTTTGAGTGGGATTAATGCTTCGGATCCTGGTAAACTTCAAGGTGTTCCCCCCCCCCTCCCCTTCACCATACTGAACCTGCAGATATTATGTTTCTTTGAAAAAGTCAGCGGTATCGCGAGGCGGAGTTCCAGGCATGAGCACATGAATTGCAATTTGAGCTTCCTGGAAGATTTGTCCTCATAAAGCTTTTCCCAGCGGGCCCGGCGGCCACTTGGCCTGAATGGGACTGGCCTCCTTGCTGAAACTAATGACAGCCTTGGTAAACCCCCAGGGAAATCCAACACCACTTAAGGGTCATGATTAAGGCAGGTGTCCAAAGGACAGCTGCAAATGTGATAATTGCCCATGACAGTGATCGTTTGGAGCATAATTCATTCGTCCTTCCAGCCCCCTTGCACAATTGGCTTCTAAATAGACACTTGTCCGTTCACCCGGAGCGATCAAATATCATCCCCAAGGGACTAAGCACAAACGCTTTATAAAGTGGGGAAAAGGGGGTCCTTTTTCTAAATTTTCTATTCAGTACACACATTACACAAATATAACAGGATCCAATCCTGCAATGTTCCACCAAAATATGTAAGAAAAAACTGACCAAGCACTATTGGCCCATTTCTGTGATGAGCCCCAACAATTAATTTATTCCTCTGCATCTTTTCTAAAGCTTCAAGCAGTTGTTTCATAACTGTGGTCTGAGGTGCCTATCTCCATTGTTGGATCAGAACAAAATTAGCAGCGTGTGGGAACGTCCAGCATATGTCTGCTTGACAGTTCCTGGGGTGGATCCAGAAATGGACCTGGGAATTATGTATTGTATAGTTAGGCCTTAAGGAACATAGGTGTGGGAGTCCTCACTTGGAGAAAAGTGTATATAAATGAACTCATAGAATCATAGAGTTGGAAGGTACCTCCAGAGTCATCTAGTCCAACCCCCTGCACAATGCAGGGAATTCACAAAGACCTCCCCACACACCCCCAGTGTCCCCTGTTTTATGCCCAGAAGTTATAATTCATATTATTTTGATTTATTGGGATTATTTTTATCTTCCTTTCCAAATAATACCTTTGTTTAAAGCAGCTAAGAAAGCTGAAAAGCAATGGGCATCAAAAGCGAAAATATATTTTTAAAAAATACATCGACGACTGAAACAGCAGAAAAGGGATGAAAAACAACAAAGTGGGTCAGAGCAAAACAAGGAACACAACCATAGACAGCTTCAAGCCACAAACACAGACAACTTCAGGAGGAGAATAAATAGACATAAGGAGCAGAAGTCCATCAGTGGCTATTAGCCACAAGGTGTATATGGAACACTCTGTCCGAGGCAGTGAAGCTCTGTAATCCTGGTGCTTGGGGGGGGGGCAATAGTGGGAAGGCTTCTGGACCACTGGTGGACCTCCTGAGTTTTGGCCACTGTGTGACACAGAAACGGTGATCCCACACACTAAATAGTCCACTTTCGATGGACTTTCAATGCACTTTCCAACTGGATTTTGCCAGTTCACACAGTAAAATCCAGTTGGAAAGTGCATTGAAAGTGGATTATTGAGTGTGTGTAATCGCAGCCTGTCCAACTGGATAGTAGGCCATTGGCCTGATCCAACATGGCTTCTCTTATGTTCTTCTGAACCAGATGGATGGGGGTAAAAAGATTTATGAATTGTTCCATCATGGGTTTGTGTGTTGTTTTTTCCCCCTGTTGTAGACTGCAAACTAAATGGTGAAATCAAATTGATCTTGGGAGGATCTGATTTTCGCAAGCGCAGACCACGCTCATGTGACAACACGCAAAAAATGGCGACTGAAAATTTCGTGGAATTCTTGAACAAACTCAAGGAAATGCATGAGAAGGAGGTCCAAGGTAAGAAAACATCTGGGAGTCCTTCATTAATGCCGAACCACCCAGCCCACAACCGGGACGCTCCCCTCAGAGGCTTCTGGACTTAGAGGCTGAGTCTTCTCTGTCGGCCCACCCCCACAAAGAGGAGGAGGAAGAAGAAGAAGAAGAAGAAGAAGAAGAAGAAGAAGAAGAAGAAGAAGAAGAAGAAGAAGAAGAAGAAGAAGAAGAAGAAGAAGAAGAAGAAGAGGAGGAGGAGGAGGAGATTGGATTTATACCCCGCCCTTCACTACCCAAAGGAGTCTCAGAGTGGTTTACAATCTCCTTTCCCTTCCCCTCCCCACAACAGACACTCTGTGAGGTAGTTGGGGCTGAGAGAGCTCTTGACAGAAACTGCTCTTTTTCAAGAACAACCCTTATCAGAGCTATGGCTTGCCCAAGGTCATCCAGTCAGGTGCAAGTGGAGGAGTGGGGAATCAAACCCGGTTTTCCCAGATTAGAGTCCAAGCACTTAACCACTACACCAAAAGGGTTGGGTCCTACCCACTTTTCCACTGCCACAAGAGGAGCAGTCTCCTCGTTTCCCTTACTGCAGTATTCATCTGGTATGGCTTTTTGCCCACAGAGGTCATATGATCCCTGGCATAGCCTTTTGAGGGGTCAAATGGGGAGGTCCTCCTCCCTCTCATGCTTGTAAAGTGCCATCAAGTTGCAGCCAACTTTTGGCAACCCCAGCAAGGGGCTTTCAAGGCAGGTGAGAGGCAGAGGCGGTTGGCCATGGCCTTCCTCTGCAGAGTCTTCCTTGGTGGTCTCCCTTCCAAGTACTTAGCTTCCGAGATCTGACCAGATTGGTCTAAAGCATGCCACCTTTCCTCCTCCCTCTCACACCTGTAGAAAAACTGACAGGATCCAACCCAATCTTATTTTGCCCAAGGCTGATCGTATCTTGGGCAGGCTTAGATGAGGATGGGATTTACACAGGGGTGAAAGCCAGTGTCTGGTAACCAGCTGGAGTCTGGGAAAGAGGGACAAAGGGGGCCCTGTCAGTGCAATGGCACACTTCTTGGGAAAACCCAAAAAGTAAAGTAATGTTGTCACGGAGACAGCGATTTTTTAATTTTTTTTGTCATTTTTGTTCCACTGGCTGACAAAGCAGTAGCAGGCAGCAAGGGTTGCCTGGCAACCTTTTAAAAAATATTTTACTATTGTAATAGTTCTGACAAGAGCTGTCCTTGAAAGGGCAGTTCTCTCAGAGCTCTCTCAGCCCCACCTACCTCACAGGATGTCTGTTGTGGGGAGGGGAAGGGAAAGGAGTTTGTAAGCCGCTCTGAGACTCAGAGTGAAGGGCAGGGTATAAATTCAATCTCCTCCTCCTCCTCCTCCTCCTCCTCCTTCTTCTTCTTCTTCTTCTTCATGTGCCTTCTGGATTTTCCTAATTCAGGTGGTGAATGATCACTATAACACAATATCTAGGGACGTGTGGGCCCAGCCAAGATGACTGGCCACAAGGGGCGGGGCCTTTTCTATCACAGCCCCTTTTCTGTAATGGAATAGCTCCCCAAACGTGTTGTCCTTGTGCCTGATTTCTCCCAGGTGTTTAGTGGGGTGGAGGGAATGAAACATTTGTACTTTTGGAGAGCCCATGGCTGCTGTGTTGTTGGTTTCAGTTGTTGTTGGCCTGCTGGTTTATTTTTCATTGTTTTGAAGGGCTTGCGTTGTTTTAAATTTCTCCGCAGACCATGGAGGTCATGGGCCAGAATAGAAATCTTTTAGATAAATAAATGTTGTATGCTTTTCACAATTTAAAAAAGGAGTGAAGAAGAGGAGTTAGTCCAAACAAATCAACAGAAGGCCGTGCTGTTTCTCTCCTCATTGATAGGACTCTGATATTTCCTTCACTATGTGCCCCCCCCCGGGGGGGGAACTAAACCCAAACAAATGATAACCATGTACACTACGCTTGTTATTCCAGTTTGGTTCTTGCATCTGTTAAACACCTTCATTATGCTATGTGCTAATTTGCTGCTCACCCTGCACCTATACGTATAGACTGGTAACTTCCATTTCAGTATACCTGAAGAAGTGTGCATGCACAGGAAAGCTTATACCTTGAAGAAAACTTTCTTAGTCTTAAAGGTGCCGCTGGACTCAAACTTCCTTTGTTCTGCTGCTTCAGGAATCTGGATAGTCCTATTTTGGCAAACAGTCCTACGCCAACAAGTTGTTGTGTGAATGCAGTTTGCAAACGAGAATGTCATCTAATCCACCCAGACTCCTTAGAAGTACCATGTGACATTTGGACTGTCAAGTGATCTGCACCAAGGGTCTAGCATCTTGTCTAAACGTTCCTTATTCAACTCTTTCAGGCCTGCAGACAAAACTGAACGAGCTAACCAATGAGAAGTGTCGGTGAGTGAAGGAGATACGGTTCCGTTCAACATTCTGCGGGGAAAGGTGGATTTTAGATTGTTCATTTTAGAATATTCAGGGCCATGGTCATGCGTAAAGCACTCCACAGAATAGGTATGGGAAATTAGGAGCTGGGACTGGACTCGGTCTTAGCTGGGTTTGTATGAAGGTCTGTTTGAATGCACCAATAAGGGGATTCCTGCGACAGGGGAAACCCTTTTTTCAGTGCCTGTCATCTCCGAGTTGGAAAATTCCCAGAGATTTGGGGGGTGGAGCCTGGGGAGGCTGGGATTGGGGACAGGAGGGGTCTCAGCAGGGTATAATGCCAGAGAGTCCTCTCTCCAAAGTAGCCATTATCTCCAGGTGAACTAATTTCTGTCACCTGGGGATCACAGTTGTAATCCCAGGAGATCTCCTGGCCCCTCTCGGAAGTTGGCAACTCTATTCCTCCCACGTGGATTAATGAAATTATAATATCGACATGCACCTATTTGCTCACGACACATGCTAAATAATGCAGTTTCCAAACCGCTTCAGTCACCCTTTGCAAGTGGATTTTGCCATTTCACACAGACCGATTTCACACAAGAGCTGCGCCGTGGTCGCGCCTCCCTTTGCCTCCCAGAGCTCTTTTTGTAGCAGGAACTCCTTTGCATATTAGGCGACACACCCCTAATGTAGCCAATCCTCCAAGAGCTTACAGTAGCCCTTGTAAGAAGAGCTCTGTAAGCTCTTGGAGGATTGGCTACATTACAGATGTGTCGCCTAATATGCAAAGGAGCTCCTGCTACAAAGAGAGCCCTGCAACTGAAAAAGAACACATATAGCTTCGCACAAAGGAAATTTAGCAGTTGTACTACTTCATGATGTGGAGTGGAAGTGCAGTAGTGTGTGTGGGTGTGTGGGGGTGTGTGTGTGTGTGGGTGGGTGGGTGTGTGTGTGAAAGTGCCCTATGACAAGCAAGGGGGGGTCTCTTGTTGGGGTATCAGAATCCACCAGCCTTTTTATTTTGCCCTCTTTGTTCTCCCTGAAATTAGAGATACCCAGAGAATAGAAGAGCTCTTCGCCAAAAACCACCAGCTACGAGAACAGCAGAAAGTCCTTAAAGACAATGTGAAGGTGTTGGAAAACAGGTAAATCATATGCATCCGCGTGTCAGCGAAGCCCAGCAAATATCTGGCTTTCCTTCATCACCATCTTCCACACCCCTATATGGGCTCTGGCCCATCAATGCTTAGGCAGCAATACATTCATTACTCTATAAGGAGCTTTGAGACTCTGTGTTATACACTTGTCAGGGATGCTCTAGGCCAGTGATGGTGAACCTTTTAGAGACTGAGTCCCCAAACTGCGACCCAAAACCCACTTATTTATTGCAAAGTGCCAACACGGCAATTTAACCTGAATACTGAGGTTTTACTTTAGAAAAAACAACTCATACATTCTTAAGATGATCCAAACGAAGTAAGGAAAGCAATCCCAAATGCTTTCATTTACTTAAAATTACTTGGCAGAGAATTCAACACTTTAATGATGGTCTGGGCCTGGCTGGGGTGATGGCACGTGTGCCCACAGAGAGGGCTCTGAGTGCCACCTCTGGCACCCGTGCCATAGGTTCGCCACCACTGCTCTAGGCTGATCCTGCATTGAGCAGGGGGTTGGACTAGATGGCCTGTATGGCCCCTTCCAACTCTGTGTGATTCTATGAGTCTATGATTCTATGATTCTATTCTGCATGTGCTTGTCATCTTATTATTAACACTTTTTAAAAACTGCTGCCGGAATTGCAGGGGTGGGATTCTTGGAGACAGACATCACAGAGGACCAGCCAAGTTTGCACAATGTACAGTCAGCTATGGCTTCAAACGTACAGTACTAATTTTGCCAGAGTTCTGTCCCTGAAACGAACAGTATATATTTAGACTTGAATTCAGTGGTGGGGCATTCAGAGAGGGCCTCTGAGTTCTAAAAATATTGCAAGTCTTCATGATACAGAGAGAACACCTATATTCTAAAAATATTACATCTGTCTTTGTCCACAGAGCCGCCCTCTGCTCTAAAAATGTTATATCTGTCTTCATAGAGCATTATACCCCAACGTGGTGCCAATGGAGACCATGGTGTCCCCGCCAGGTGTTTTTGGGAAGTGTTTGCCCAACAAGGTTTCTGATTGGCTATTGGAGATTTGAATAGCTGGGCAGATTTTTTAAAAAAAATTTGCTTCGGCAGCAGCTGCCATTGCAACACAAGGATTTTCACTCCACCTACTGCAGTGGTCACTTTGTGGCTGGCTCCACCTCCTGTGGCAGCCATGCCATGGCTGCCATTTTGTTCCTGCGCCCACCCCACCATGCCAGAATTCTAAAGATGCCTGCAAGCTGAAAAAGGTTGGGGACCCCTAACATAGAGAGAGCCTCTCCATTCTAAAAATGTTACATCTGTCTTCACATAGAGAGAACCCCTCTGCTCTAAAGACATTACATCTGTCTTCCTAGAGAGAGTACACCTCTGGTTTTAAAATGTTGTATCTGTCTTCACCCTTCATTGTTTGTACTTCCTTCAGGTTACGAGCTGGTCTCTGTGACAGATGCCAAGTTACTCAAGAGCTTGCGAAGAAGAAGCAGCACGAATTTGGGAAGGCCCATTTCCAGAGCCTCCAACACATCTTCATCCTCAGTAAGCAGAGCAGAGATCTGGAGTTCTATCCCATGTCTGATAGTGAGAGAGTTGGGCACCCTGGCCACGCTACTTTTTTGAACAAAAAAATGGGAACTTACTTTGCTTCTGAAAAATCAGAACTTTTGGGCATCGTAGTACCAAGTGAGATGTTTTTAGTCTTGCTTTGTCAGCTCCACGGTTTCTGTTATATTTCAGGTGTCAGAAACTGACAGTTTGCATGTTCAAAACTGAAGTGCAAACACAAATAATAAATGAATCCAACTGGGACAAAGACAAAATTCAGAGAATGCATTTCAGAGAATGTGGAAGCCTGCAAATGGGATATCACCAACTCAAATGAGAAAGCACCTGGCAGAGGATGACAGAACCCAAATGGCCTAGTGGTTAAGAGGGTCAGACTAGGACCTAGCACAACTGAGTTTGAATCCCTACTCTTTCATGAAAGCTTGCTCAGTGACTCTGGGCCCTGTCCCAATATTGTGCTCTAACCTACCTCAGAAGAATTTCCTGCCAGACGATGTAGTGATGCCCACACCTATAGAGAGCTAAGAAAGGGGATTAGACAGAAGATAGGTCCATCAATGGCTACTAACCATGATGACTAAAGGGAACCACCACATTCAGAGGCAGTCAACCTCCAAAGACCAGTGCCAGGAGGCAACATCATGGGAAGGCCTCGGACTCCATGCCCTGTTGTTGGCCCTCCAGAGGAACTGGTTGGCCACTGTGGGAGATGGGATGCTGGACTGGATGGACCCTCACTGGT